TTCCCATATGTTCGTAGGCTCTGTACTTTTAAATGGCGTTTGGTTTTGCCAATATAGGAGATCTTACAGTCTCCACACGTGTAAAGATAGACAAGCCAAGAACAATAAGGAATGGGGAGGAGATCTTTAGTAGGGCTAGTGTAAGGCTATACACTATATTTTGTGCTGTGTAAGGCTATACACTATATATTGCTTACAGCATTATTTCATATTTGTTTGTGCAGTGATACCTTCAAATTAGTTGATATAGCCGATAAACAATTCAGATTTCGTAACTTGAAGTTATGTTTACAAAAATTGTTTTTTTTGTTGTTTTTTTTAGTGCAAAGCTACAAAATGTCCACAGCGGGGAATGGAACCCACATTTTAGCGTTGTAAGTCTCTAAACTTACCGCTGACCCATTGAAGGAATTTTTCAAATGACCAAATTTGTAATAGAATTTTAAAAATCATGGAAATCATGTCTGAGCAATAACTAAATTCGAATCTTGTATTCGAATATTGACAAGGGTGGAGCAAATATCGTTCGAAAACGGAGTGACTTATTATTGTGTAGATAGATGCTTGTAGATTGGTTAACTCTGTAATATCAGGACGATAGCTAGGACGTATGTGTCTGACATTCGCACAATGCTACACAAGGGATGTCTGCGATAATAATATTTAATGTTAAAATTTTAACTAAGAGACCAGAAGGAAGGTAACAGGTCAACAGCACTTTCCATCAACTGCATATCAAATTCCTTTCCATATTGTTTGGTACTTAGGGTGCTCGACTCGCAATTTGAGGGTCACAAGTTCGAATCCCCGTCTCCAAACATACTCGCCCTTTCAGCTGTTGGGGCGTTATAATGTGATGGTGAATCCCACTATTCTTTGGTAAAAGAGCAGCCGAAGAGTTCGCGGTGGGTAGTGTTGACTACTTGCCTTCCCTCTCGTCTAGCACTGCTAAATTAGGGACGGATAGCGCAGATAATCCTCATGTAGCTTTGCGAAAAATTCAAACCAAACCAACTTAATTATTCAAATTCCTTCTTTTCTTTCCTTTGATAAATTACTTTTCATCCGACCATCTATAAGCTGAGGGTTAATCATAGGTAGGACCACTTCTTCATCGTCAGTCATGACTATTCTGATCTTCACAACTGCATACTGTTGTCAGACACTACAGTTTTAATTGTAACAAGCTACTTCAAAGTTTGGCGAGGTCCATCTTAGACCAGATATTTTGTTAAGTTATACACAGACCCTTCACTGTATATGGATGCCGGTATTCAATATCACGTTTAGGCCGATCAAAATTACAAATGTCCATTGGAATTACATTAGGGTACTTTAAAGAAATGTGTTTGAATGGAATTACTGTCAATGCAGTTTCTTCTGTAATTATTTTTTTTCATGAAAACATTCATGATTTTAAGGTTGAAAATTTGTGAGATTTTGAGTGATAAGTCTTTATCAATTTCAAATTCTCGTTCCTGTCATATTAAAGTTACTAGGTGTTGCGTCCAGCTTTATAGCAATGTCCTTTTGGTTCGGAAGGTTCTCTTCCGTAATCATTATATCGAAATAGATTGGAGTAAGGTTTTAGAGCCAAATGCTGTTCTGAATGCTTTGCTATGTGAGTTTTTTCACTTCCCCAGAGAACATTGAAGACGACCTTCTTTGAAATGCTGTGTCCTTTGGCTTTATATTACTTCATAATTCCACTAAACAAGGACATTTAATACTTCTCTAGCGATTATTGCTTTGCTAATTGATTAGAAATTCGCCGTAAGCTAAACAGATGTTGAACATTTTTCATTAATATCACGGTTCTTATCTGTGCATTAATATAAGTAGTTCGTAGTGACAAGTTGTGGTTAACCCATAGCAGTTATTATTATTATTATTATACGTTGATGTCCAGCACGATTATATATATATATATTCTTCTTCTTGTACTCTGAAATATTATTTCCAAACTGATTGTCCATTTCTATACATTTCCTTTCCGATGCCCAACTACCCTTTAATCTGAAACATACTTTACCTTATTTAAGTTATAGACTAGTAACCAATCTGGTCCTTCCCTTCACTTCTGCGTGATATATTTCCAACTCGGATGTTCATGCACTTTCATTCCTTTACTCCATCAACAAAGACAACAACAACAAACAATCAATTTTTGATAGTCATAAATATTATTAATAAACAAAGTTAATACCTTTATGTAAAACATGAAGTCTTGCAATCTTCAAAAATAGGCGCAGACCTAACATCTGTAGGGGGTGACTGGGGTACACTTAAAACTGTGCTTTGTCAATTAATAAACTTTAGGTGCAGTTGGACCAGCCTCATAGTAATAATCCAAATTGTTATCAAAATGTGTGTCATTAGACTCCGATGAGTTTTTAAAACTATCTCCCAAAAAATTCTATTTGTACAAGTACACATAGAACATCACAATCACATTAAAAAAAATACATAAACACCCAGTCCAGAAGCACATATATGATAAGAACAAACTTGAGCTTGTGATGACAAAACATAGTCCAGAAAATATATTGAAACACACACACCATGATAAGTAATGGCACATAAACCAGAAGCGTTTTGAATTAAATAATGATATCAAATATCAACTGGAATCTTACTGAAAACAGACTTTATTATAATGTAACGTACAACAGTTTATGCAACTCTATCATTGAAAATAACAAACGACAATTTCATTTATACTATTTGGAAGCATACAACATTTTAGGTCAAATTGCTAATACGCTATAACATACAGGAATTTGAATCAATGTAAGTAGTTTAGGGTACATCTCTAATTCACGATAACAATTTAAGCTACTGTAACATGCAACAAGTCACATACGACAATTTAGCCATTGTAGCTTACAATAGTTTAGGTCACATTACTAATATACTGTAACGTACAACAATGTAAGAGAACTTGGTATACATCAGTTTAGGCCACCCTACGAATACATTGTAGCATACAACAATTGAAGTCAATGTAGCACACAACAGTTTAATTCACACTACCAGTACTCTGCAACGTGCAACAATTTACGCCACTGTAGAGTGAAGCAGCTTAGATCAATCTACAAATACACAGTAACTTGCAACAATTTAAGCTATTGTAGTGTAAAGTACACCGTCCTAGAGTTGTAGCATACAATACGTTAGGCCATATGAGGATTATACTTCAGCGTACAATTTAGATCAATCTGAATCTTTAGCATAAAACAATTTAGAATGCTTTCGTTATGCAGCGATATCTAAACAGCTAAGCCTATTTTGTCAATAATTCAAGTGACATAAAAAATAACAGATCCGTAACTATGACTTTCTTTAATGAAACATTTTGTTTAAAATATGTTAGTAATATTAACAATTTGTACAGTAAGTTTAATATAGCTCACATACCCTATTAAAAGCATACTATATAGTACTGTGTATATATATGTTCAGGTATAGTACAAGTATAATGAAACCATATTATTGTTGACATCTGTAGTATGTGATATAGTAGTACTTGATATATTTTGTTACAAGTATTCAGTACATTTAGTTCAAATAACACTCTACTAACAAATTGTATAAAATTATAATTTCTAAGTGATATTAAGTGGTATTATAATGGAAATATTGTTAGCATCGTGTTCCTTATTACAATGAAAATGTTATGAACAGTATACAATTCACTATTGTGACACTTGTTAATAGCGTGCTGTACGGTATTAGAGAGGAGGTTAATTTGTTAGTGGTGTCTATATATAGTCTATTATATTATAGTTACCATAACATGTACCCATTGTTATGCATTGTTACCATATGTAGGTTAAGAAATTGTAAGCAAGTTAATTTAAGGAACCGTGAGTGAAAGCAAATGAGATTATGTTTAATCATGTCAAGCACATTACATCTGCCATATCCAGTACCGCTAAAGCCTTTCGCCCAACAGCAAAGATTATACAAGCATCAATATATGGTTAAACTAAAAACAAAGGTTCTGTTTGTTCAAGTTCAGGTCTTTATTACATCCAAGAAACATGTCAAACATGAATATTTACAATGTCTTACAAAAGTGAAAGATATCTAGCAAAGAAGCGTACTGTTGTACACGCCTGCGCGTTGACTTTGGTTTTCAACAGACAGGTAGAAGCAGCAGCAGAGTAACAGTAATAAAGGAGGACTGCTGCTGAGAGATAGAAACATGGAGCTTTTTACACATTAGCATGTTGTGTGGTAGGAAACAGAGGCTCTAACAACTTGACGCTGTATGGATCCTTCCTCAATGTTGATCTTTATTTAATTCCAGCCATGACTTTCCTCACTGTGAAGAAAGAGAGAACGTTACTGAACATGTGCTACATCAAAACACCATTTTATATAAAGTCATATCCTTCAAAACTACTGAATATTAATTATTTACTCAAATACATAACGCACGATTCACTGTAAAGTTCAACTCAATGAGATCAGTTGGTTTTAAGTTGTGGCGTATATATATATATATATAGATAGATTCAAGTTAATTCAAGACAAAATAATTACCCCAAAGGATCATCAAAATATCAAGTAGATCTCATAAGACCCAGAAGGTCGAGTGTTTTCAAATATTTTATATTTACATTCAAGTGATATATACAACTTTAAATTTATTACTTTGAAAACAGAAATCAAATAGAACTTACTAGACAGGTACGGGTTTTTTGATGTAATGAGGTACCTCCTTCACCAGGGGCACTTCAAATGGTACCCTAACAGGCACGTGGACGGGTACCTCCTTATGCAGGGGCACGACGAAGGGCTTAGGCACCTTGACTGGAACCTTGACAGGGTAGGGCTTGTGGACAGGGTAGGGCTTTGGTACTTTTACCACATAAGGTTGTGGCACTTTAACAATCACTGGATGATGGACTGGATGTGGAACAGGCACAGGCTTTTTGATTATGACCTCTTTGGGAATGTGGACGATCTTGGGAATGTGTTGCACCTTGTGGATGATTTGAGGGATACGGACGGGAACATGTACAGGCACATGCTTGTAGACTGGATAGTGCTTGGGAACTGGAATGATATGGGGTACTGGGACGGGGTGAGGGATAGGAACTGGTTTCTTAATTTTTTTGACGATATATTCATCATCCTCCCAAGGTCCCCATCCTCCGCCACTTCCCTGCACTTGCACCACTAGTAGAAGGGTTAACCCCGAAAAGACCAGACACTTCATTGTAATTGAAAAAGTCCGATGAAGCTGGGCCAAAGTTTACTAACAAAACAAAAATACACAAATACACCTTCGTTTCTTTCTGTTTACTAAGTCAATGCTAATGACATTTTATTGTTAATGTCTTGATTATAAATACTTTAGAGACACTACAAGGGGAAAAACAGCAACAAAAAACTACGTGACTAACAAAAATATTGTTTAGAAATATATTTATTTTGATAAACATGTTTAGAAACGGTCTTCTTTTAGATCTAAATTTCGACTGTTTAAAACAGCAAAGCTAAGACCATAATAAAAGAATCCGGTCATGATCCAAACGAAGAGACGTGTAAACTATGACAATTCCCTTGGAAATGACATTTCACTACTAGCCTATCAAATTACTGAAGTTTCAGTTACGCTGTAATTATACTTACATTTATCAAACTTAATGTTCTTGCCGTCAACAAGGAAATTTGCTTGCTTGTTTTTGTATTAACAAACAAATAAACATTGTCAGAGAGATTGGAACTTTAAATCTTGTCATTGAAAAGGTGAACTTTTAAAACTGATGTATTGTTGCAGAATTATTTCGAACAAAGGATGGTTTAATGCAGATAAAATATGTTTATATACTAGGGTCTGGTAATAAGACATGAGTGCGAAGCTAAAATTAGTGTTTAAATGCTCCTCGACAGCGATATAACTTACCTCAGATTGGTACAGTAGGCTAACTCAGAAGCTTCTGTTGCAAGTCCTTTCTCTGTGGTGTTTATATACTCCATCTGAAAACGTGACCCACTTGAAGACTTACACTTACTGAAAAACTAGGGCAGACGGGATCTCACTATCTGCTTCTCTCATAGGAGGGCGAACCAGCGAACGGACAGCGTGTTGGAAGCACTTAACAACCAGAGAGCGTTGAGCCTTATCGAAGGTTGGACACAGAAAGTGCAGTTTCGTCGTTACCAACCGATCTATGTCATTCACCTACTTTCCTGCCTTTAGCCACGGACTTCTATCGCATAGTATAAAAACTACCATCTTCTATATACAGTCTAGCGTGCGCCTAAGTAAACCAATGTAAAAGTGATCTATAGTGCTGTTTGTAAGGTTTAAACCTGTGATTATATTTACAAAACAAATGACGATCCATACATAAGTACATACCTACCTTGAAATCAAGACATATGGAAAAGTAGATTGCACTGCTTTCAGCAAACACCGAGCGTTTATAGTAATTTACTACATTACACGTGCAACTCATCTGTCGGGTATAAGTGTGAGAAAGATAAAATGAGATAAACGTAAGCAGGAGTTTTGTGAACGGGTTATACGACTCTAAGTAGTTTTAATGTACAATCTGCTCAAGGAGAATAAAATCACTTAAACTTCGTAGAAAATATTATTTTAGAAGCGATACGTGAATAAGGAAGATGAAAGGTGTTAAACGTAAAGCCATAAAGGTGTAAGTTTAACAAAATATCTTGTGATAAAAGGATATTTAGTGTATAAAGTATAAACATTTAAGAAAGGGAGAAAATAATGTAGTCTCTGAAATCAACACAAAGATTGTCCCTTTATACGTTAGTGCGCATCTATTATTTTCAATTTGTTGTCATACAGAACGTGAGACAAACGTTTCTGTTCAAAATCCATGTCGTTAAAAACCTGAGTAAACCAACCAGTTAATTTAAGCTCGTCGTAGAGGATTTTGTAAACAGGCAGAACAATTTGACTTTGGAAACGTTTTAAAGTAATTTATTTCAAATCAAGTAAGTCTTTAGGAAATGCAACTGGATAAATATATTTTCATTTTAGAATGTTTTTGTACTTAGCTATAACAGATTAAACTGCTGAACTTAATGAAAAACACAAACAAACTTAGACACAAGATGGTGGCGGCAGTCAACGAAATCTATCGAGACTTTTCTAAATATAGGAGTTACAATTAACGAAGTGACAAAAAAGGTATATTTTTTACATACAGTCAAGTGTTCTGGTAAACCTATTTTAGATACTCATTACATAGGATTGATTTTTCCGTTTTATGAAAAACAAAAACGTATTTAAAGTACATATGTAGCACGACATATATTTCAAGATTTCTGTTCATCCGGTATCTTCTTAATTAACAGTATATATATGTGTGTGTGTGTGTTTTGTTTGTTTGGTAAGTATGACACTTAAACTTATCTGGTATACTTTTGTACTTTGGCTAAAACTCATTTTGTGAGATCCCTCTATCGTGTAACGAGAAATTAAATGTTAACATTATAACGACTTTCTCGTTAATGAACTATTTGAATATGTATTGTTAGCCGTTAATAAACTATTTGAATATGTATTGCTAGCCGTTAAAGAACTATTTTCCATGTATCAAGACATCCTCTTGGATATGACAATTAATACATAATTTCGTCTGGCCCTTTGGTACGTTTGGCTGAGTAAATAGTCATGGATGAACGCGTTGCGTTTTATATGAAAAACGTCCGCCTTTTGTTTAATGTCTTTCTAGTCACTCCCGTCTTACATAATTCAATTCTTTTACCTATGTACTAACGTCTATGTTCCTGTCCATGCTTATATATTTGTGAAAAGATTGTAAAGCTTGAAAGTCTCCCAGGGAACAATTGACGGGGTTTGGTCGAATTTAGTGGAAGGACAAAGTCACACTAAAAGTCACTGCCTCCCATTATAATGATTGCCAATAAAAGCTTTTTAAGTTATCATATATTCAGAATCAAAATTGAAACAAAAATAAACTTCCAAGTACCACATTAGAGTTCAAAGAACGTTGCGAATAAAGGAGGCTTTATTTATTAGACTTTTGGAACCAAGCCTTATGATACTTCTTCGTCTTTTCCAAGTACTAGTTAAAAGAATGGGGTGAAGTATACCTTAACAACTAAGTGATGTTTGCCTTTTCCATGACACTCTAGTTTAATATCAGATTTTTTTGTTTCATAGTCACAGAAGAAAAAAGGAAGAGTTAAATGCTGCCGAAGAAATTATAATACATTCAAAGCGTGGTGTGTCCATTTATGTCAGAAAGTTGAGAATAAAGAGTTATTTTTAAAGGTTTAGACTTCTGAATGATATTACGAAACTTGCAACGTTATGAAATAGTACAATGGTTTGGTATTTTCAACCTAAACGGCACCTTTTGCGAGGCATGGGCTAAACGGCAGATCAGAGACCCCTAAGCAATAGCCAGAGCTGATTTATAACTGCTGACAAGAGAGAGTAACCATTTAACAGCATCTGTCACTTATTATGCGGGTGCTCTTAACCGGCTAAAATGGGATTGATTGTTACAGTTATAACATCCCTACAGACGGAAGTGTGATTGATTGTTACAGTTATAACATTCCTACGGACGGAAGTGTGATTGATTGTTACAGTTATAACATTCCTACGGACGGAAGTGTGATTGATTGTTACAGTTATAACATTCCTACGGACGGAAGTGTGATTGATTGTTACAGTTATAACATTCCTACGGACGGAAGAGTGTGATTGATTGTTACAGTTATAGCATCCCTACAGACGGAAGTGTGATTGATTGTTACAGTTATAACATTCCTACGGACGGAAGAGTGTGATTGATTGTTACAGTTATAACATTCCTACGGACGGAAGTGTGATTGATTGTTACAGTTATAACATTCCTACGGACGGAAGAGTGTGATTGATTGTTACAGTTAAGAGAATATAGCAGTTCCAACCTTGCTAACAACTAAGCCACACCTGGTTCAAAGTACAATATAATGTTGTATTGCAAAATCAGCAACACCACAGTTGTTGAAATATCTTATCATAAAATATAAGGTGAAATTACATCAGTTACTCATGTAAATATGTGACAATAAGAAATATTTGGTACGAATTAAAAGAGGCCTAGTACAGTCTTGTGTTTAGGGAACTCAACTCGCAATCTGAGGTCGTGGGGTCTAATCCCGTAACGAAACATGACATGGAGTGTTAATATGTCATGGTTAATCTCATTATTCGTTAGAAAAAGAGTAGCCCAAGTGTTGGCGGTGGGTAGTGTTGACTAGCTACCTTCCTTATAATCTATCACTTTAGAGTTAGAGACGGCTACAGCGGATAGCGCTCGAGTAGATTTGTATGTAGTACAACAAAGAATGAAAGGGACAAACTGACTATATGATAATGGCGTAAGACTTATTTTATGAGGAGATTTAGTTATAGGCGGTAATAGTTATTTTTTGTTGTGGATAGACTTTAAATAAGTATAGAGACCGCCACTGTTTTTATCAGGCACAAAAACAGCCCACGAATTATGTTTTGTTTTACACTAACTACCTGGGAAAAGAGAAAGTAAATACCAGATTTGTACGCTGGCTAAACCTGTTTTAAAATACGATTGATGATGGTTGACTGTTTTTAGCGCAAAGTTATACAATAGACTGTCCACCGCGAAGAATCGAGCCCCGGATTTTAGCATTGTAAGTCCGGAGACTTTATTTTAAAAGAACAGGAACTAAAGATACGACCTTTGATTAATCTAAATTATTGTTCGAAAAATCTGCTTTACGTTGATCACAAAACTTAGGAAGGAGTTAGGCCTAATTTACTCCAAGTTTCGGGGGTTTGAAATTATGCAGAATAGCTAGGACTGTGTATGCTTATTGGCTTATTTGACATATTGATATTAGATTTATCTGAACACAAGTGTATCATCTATATAAGTGACGATAAACGCGTTTTTTCCATTCATATCAGCATTAAGGAGTGATTTTAAGCTTCAACATAATAGTATAACTTTCACTAAAACAGAACGGATATCGTTAAAGTATGAACATGAAGAAAGAAACTTGATCATGAGTTTGAATATTCAAAAAAATTGCTATTCTGTACAATTTAATTGGCATGTTACAAACAGAAGCATTTGTCTAACGAGTTTATAATAAGCCTTTTTTTTTCATATTAAAGTGCCAAATGAAATAATCATGCTGGTTTTAGTCAGTGAAACCGAAGTGGCCAAGTAACCTGAATACTATATTTATAATTGAGGAAAATTGAAATAATTTAATTTTCCTCAAAATATCTATGCATTATTGACAGATTGTATTCATTAATAATGTTAAACGTGGAACTAGTTTACACATTTTCATAAATAACTAAATGAATTGACGATATATTTTTCTTAAGTTTGTTCTTGCTGTTATTCGACAAAATGCATGTCATGTTTCTAATATAATAGGCACATTTATCCGTGTTAATTTTATACACAGGGCATTTTAAGAACGAGAACCGGTAGTACCTGTTATGCCCGGAAATGGCCTAAAACTGTCATATATTAAGCCTCTGTTATAATTAATATGATACGACTGCTTTTTGTTGTTAAGCGCAAAGCTAAACACTAAATTGGCTGCGCTATGCCTATAGCAAGGATCAAACCCAGATTTTTAGCATTAGTCCCGCGGCTTACCGCTGAGCTGAAGGGAACGTGATTTTACTGAATAATACGTGTTTGTTAGATTGTTAAATAGGAAATAATTTGTAATAATCGGTGCAATTTTTCAATATACACATACTTTGCATACTAAATCATAAAGACCTTAATTTCTATTAATCTTAGGAAAAAAAAGTAGAGGGAATACTGTTTATTTCTTTAGAATTTTCGCACAAGGTTGAAAAGGGCTACATGCATATAGCCCTCCGTAATTTTGAACTGATAAGACAAAATGGAAAACAACTAGTCAACAGCACCACCCACCAACTCTT